CAAGAACATTTAACGTTGGCTAATACATGGTTTCATTTTATTTTTATTTGGTTCGTTTATTCTCATGGAATCGAAACTAGCCATTTGTTCGAAAGGGTTATTATGTTTGTCAGCTTTTCTTTTGATTGATTAAATTTAATTTCTCATGTCCTGTTAGTTGTTCTGTGGGATTTTAAGAGAGGAAATTGTTTATATTTTCTTATATACATATAGGTGTGTTATTGTTATAATTACTATTTTATGATAAACGCAATTTGAAAGCAGGAATAATAAATCAAAAATATTCAAATATTTTTGATTTGCCATTTCCTGGAAATTCAAGCACTATATTTTGGTAACCGGATAGAAATGTACATACATAATAAAATTATAAATGTTAAAAGGAAACGTGATCTTTTTTTAGGATATAATGACTCAGTTATTTTAATTTTGCTAAACACAAATAACTCTGTTATTATTATTTCCGTGGCCAGTTAGTACAATTAATATAGGTACTGTTGCTTCAAATATAAGTTTAGCACAAATTACATATTTATATATGTACATATGTTATAAATTTTATTTTTATTTAACATGTAGGATTGTCTCAAAACTTTGTATTATCATTTTGAAGACCTCCTGCCAGAAACAGTGTTTTTTCGACTAGATCCTCCAAAAATGACACTAATAAACGATTCAAAGGAATAGCAGCACTGACTGTCACTCAAATATCATTAAACTATATTTTTTCATTACTGGTGAATGATAAGGCTGCTCAGTAGTACTTTGAATGTGTGGAAGAACTGCGAATGTGATGATTGTAGTTGTTGTTAAGTATTGTTTGTGTTAACAAAATTAACTTATCGCCCTACCAAAAGCATGAGTGTTGTCCTTTTTTAAAAAGATATTAAATACTTACTTATTTATTAATAAATACGCTTCGATATGTGGCGTATACTATACTGATTGTTTTGGTACTGATTAAGCTAGTATTGTTAACATTTTGGGAAGACAGTGACGTTATGTTCAATCGTACTTACTGCACTCATCAAAATTATTTCTATTAAAAAGTCGAAAGTTAAGCGTATCTTTGGTGAAATTCGTGGAATTTTTTAATTTAATAATAAATTTACAGAATTCTCTCCTTCTATTTATGTATTTTTTAATAGTATAGAGTTTTTTTTAAATGACATTAGTTTCAACAGTTATAGAACCATGAAAAATCCCCGAAATCATGTAAAGTCCGCTCATTTTTAGCATTGCTTATTATTAAGTACGAATAAAAAACCTAAACTTTTTCTCCTAAATTTCTATACTTACCCGCTCACTACAACTTCCCAATTGTTTAACGTTCACTGCCTGATAAAATCAGCAAAAGAACTACATAATTTTGACAATAAGTGAATAAGTGAAACCGATATTTCAGTAACAAAAGATCTCTGTTTTTCCTACTATAATTGGTGCAGCGGTATAACGAATCATTGCATTTTGTACGTTTTTGCAATTTTTTCTTCATTAGAGTTTTAGACAAGTTAATTAACCGGTTAAATTACGCAGCCGGTTAAGTGGCAAATCTGTTACGCGAAGAGTCAATAGCAGCAGAAAGCTCAAGTGCATTATGTCTGTGGTACGTGATGATGCAATTCCGGTTTTCCGGTGAGCTGGTAGAGGTGGTACCGCGCGCTGTGCGTTGGCCGCCCTCCGGAGTACGAGCGGCCGCCCAATGTGATATACTTTCTCTTTCCATGTTAATGTTATAAAGATGGGGTGTACACAAACGAAGTTCAGTTGTGTTTGTGGTGCTGAACGTCACCCGGATTATTTTTGAGGAGTTAAAGATAAATATCAAAGGTAGATTTTTAAACTATCACAAGTACATTTAGTAATAAATTTAAAAATATTTTCTTTGCTAAGTTAATAGACAGACATTTTTTCTTTTTGTAAAACATTTTAGAAACAAAACTAATGTGTATAGCATATTTACGTTACAACAATTGGCGAGCATGTCATTCCTCGAGTTAAAATTTCCAAAATTAACTTTAGTAAAAGAGGTACTCACTGAATCTTAAAAAAGAGCTCTTTGTAAATAACATTAATACAATTTAATTAAGAATTACTAAATTCCATTTGGACAATTAGATTCTGGCAGGACATGATTCACAATTTTGTAACGATTTTAAATTCCCTATATGTAAACAGTTAAGAATTTTTTGAAGTAAACTTTGGCGTTTTTTTTTAACTTTTGCGATTTTTATTTAAAGCTATCATTTTCAAGTAAAAGAATAATAATTTCTAATAACAGATAAAAGGTTAAGTTTAGCATTATTGTTTAGTATTGTAAGATCACTTTATATGCGTACTAATAAAATTTTATGACATAATTAGGATTATTTGGTTAACAATCCCGAGTCGGCTTTTCGCAGTAGGGTCCTTGTAAACTTGTAAACCGTGTCGCGTGCCTACAGAATTTTCGTTCATTACAAATACATACGGTCCTGTGTTGCCCCAAGCAGACGGTCTTTGGCGGTCGTACGTGTATAATTATGGTTTTGCGGGTTGGGTTCTTTGACTAAAGTTGTAAAATATCATTAGTATGTATTTAAAGTGATCTTAGTATATACTATATGAAAAAATATCCACAACTACTAAATTTCCGCATCTAAGCAGTGTATGTATTAATAAAATTTTGTTAAGAAAAGATGTGTCTGCATTATTACATATTTGTATTAAATGTCTTTAAATTAGTGGTTGTTTGTCTGAAAACTGTAATAGAAAATTCCAAAAAGATACAAACGAACGTCAAGTTGGGAGCGATAATTTACACTTTGGTGTTAGCTCAGGATTTGTTATATGACAAAAAAAAATCGTAGTTAGTCATCATTTAAAAATTGGCGAATTTAAGATTCTTCTAACAAAATCAAAATAAAACATATTTTGTCAGCGGTTACTCAGGGCTCACCGAGACCCAATTTTAATACATATCATACCTAATCTAAAATATCTGAAAAGTTGTAATAAGCAGACCATTTTTGTAGATGAGAGCTCTTATACAAAAATGAAATTGAATTATGATACACTCTGTATTTTAAAAGCAAAATTGGTTATATTTTTTAGAAAATTTTGGATTTTCTTAGAGGCAGATAATAATACATTGAAACTAGTATTAAGGTTTCATTCTGCTCTATAAATGTAATAATAACCGTGAAAAATATATCTAATATCCATTTAATTTTTCGTAATTATTTCTTTCTACAGAAATTTAATATTATGCCCATAAAATCAGTTTTAACACAGAGTATTAAAACAAATGTTGCTAGTGTATGATGGAATAAAACGGATAGTTTAAGAAACGATTTATTTTAATATACAGCGTGTTATTGAAAGGTACGTTCAAAATAAAATCGGCAATTGGTCTCGAAGTATGGGTGCTAAAAGTAAAAAAAAGTTCAGGTAAAAGTGTTCTCCTTTTAGAGATAAAAAATATAAAAATTTATGTCCAAATTCGTTGTACGCCTCTGATAAAACAATAAAACATTTAGTCTTGACAAAAGTTTTATTGTTACAGTTGCTAGGATTTACTCAAATAAATTAATTTTACCTATTTATCCTTCTGGAGCGTCTTAAAAGGTTGGATAAGGGTTAATTTTCCCCTTATAATTTTGATAACACAAAATAAGTTTTTCAAACTTCTTAGACTTCGCGAAGAACTGTCAATTTTGTTGTACGTACGTTTCAATAACACCCTGTATTAAACTGATTCTCAGAATTTGTCTAAATGTAAATAGATATTTTTAAATTGGATACAAGAAAAAAAGGATTCAAGTAGTAATAAAAATTTATGAGATTTCTCAGCTGGCATATACTTGTTCGTTTTTATTTTAGCTCCATGTTGCTATTTAATTATTATCTGTTAGATATAAAAGAAGATTAGACATAAAAATGCAACAGATGATGATGTGTAAAAAAATGTCAAATTTGTTGCTAAGTAATAATTCATATGGGAAAAGAACAATTCGTGACAGTTTTGTAATATTATATTTTTAATTTTTCGTTATCCATTTTAGATATGTAATATTTGATCAAGTAAAGGAAAATAAAATTTACTGTATTATTCATTTCTTATACCTATACATATTTACTTTTCTATATGTATTTACAAATTATACTCGCTATTTTAGTTAAACTACTTTTTAAAATATTTGATTTCTGTATTAAATATTTGAACAAAATAAGTTCTTCAGTGTTACATCACAAACATGTTCCCAATTTTCAGTAGATCACTTATTTATCTCAGACAAACCTGACGTGACAAGTTTGTGTCGTTTTGCGAAACATATTTTCGCAATTATAACAACTTTTTTTTCTAGATCGTTAAGATTCTCTTGTAAACTTTGTTTAGTCTGATGATTTATACACTGGGTAGAAATTCAAATAGAAGTCCTTTAACGTGACGTAAAATGGGAACCTCGTAAATTTGATAAAACTATTAAGAGAGTGAATTAGTTAAACCTTTACACTTTAACAATAAATTTGAATATTTCTTATTGATACACTGTTAATATTATGCGATATTCACATTTTTTGAACTGGCAATTTTATTTTAACATTAAGTACCAGTTACGCATTAAAAAATGAGTATAAACTTACGGAGACAAAACCTCCCTCGCAACCGAAGAACAATCAAACAAATCCAGTTTTTAGGTAAATTACAAAAGATGATTCTACAATTTTTTGGTGATCACGCTTACACATTAACATACACAATATGAATGGATTACTAGACCACATGGATAGATATATATCTATTATTTACTTAGCATACTTTTAAGGTGATATCATCAAAGATTAAATTTTGGTGATAATAAATAGATAAAATTTGGTTAATTATTTATCAACCCCATGATAACGTTGTGAAGATAAACTGTCACATTTTCGAGTCATGTTCAAGCGTTTTTGTAAAATTTTCCTAAAATTTGTTTCCGTGTATGCAGAACTGTCTGTGTTGTTTTTTTTTATTTGTTTTCAAAGTTGTGACCTTTAGTTCAATTACAAATGTTTATTATGTTATTCCCAAAATATTAAACTATAGTTGTATGCACAAATGTCACTGCAGTGACATCATCTCGTAATAAACGTTAATAAAATGCAAGCCTGGAGTCGTTAAGGTGAGACATTTCATATTATAATCAGCGTGGTTTTATTCAGCAACTTCGTAACTACCTATTAGATGTAAATATGTTTCTTCAAACCTACAATTCTTGTCTAATATGCAAAGGTGTTGTTGACCCTTCCATTTCACTTTTTAATTTTTTATCGATTGAAAAACTATGTACCAAAATTTCGGACAACTGATGCACAAATTATGATTAATTTGATTGCATGGTATTATTGCTTCCTCTAAAAACTGCAACATATTCATCAAATTACAAAAAATCTTTTGTTTGAAGTAAATACAATTAAAACTCACTTTTTACGAAACTGAACCGTCAAAATAGGTCAATGGTAAAGATGCAACTACGGCGTAATACAAAAGGCCAGTTTCATCATTACGGAAATACACTGTAGACAAATTAGTGAATTTTGTGGTCTCAATTAACAACGATCATTAACGGATATCGTAAAACCCATTTTTAGAAATAATAACTTGAGATAAATAATTCTTTGCACAATGTTAACCTTATGTTCTAGAAAAATCCCCCCACGTGTTACAAATTGGATTGAAATTTAATGTAGCAATATTATAATGGGAATATCTTCAAATCTTGTTTGTACCTTAATTAAAAGAAAAGAGGCCACACTAGCAATAAATTTGATTGCTTTATAATTTTTGCTATGTCAAAACCATCGACAATGAAAGTCATCGTGACGAATAACTGCCACGGTTCCTTCACCGAAACTGCAATTTGTTTTGTAAGTAGATGGTGATTTTATGAGACAATTACGAGTCATTTGATAAAAAAGAGGCGAATAATCAGAGAAATTTAACTTTCAAAGGTAGCGGTTATGCAGCGCCCGAAAGATGTTATTTTTTCTTTTGCACTAAATTCTAATAACTTAATAATCTTTTAAAAAACTATGTTCAAAATTAGCAAACAAGTTTCACTACTTCCGTGTACGTATGTTTTTATTCATGTCTATAAAGAATGTATTATAAAAATGGAAGTAAATTTTCTGTAAATACATAGTAAAGGATTTATGTCTCTCATTCTTTTCAGATCACGTGTATAAACTCAAAACAGCTCATATTTGCATATTTTAATATGGAATATGAAACATACCGCAATTAGTAGCAATTGTTACAGCTGTAACCTTCTCTCAGTAAGTGACTATTAAAAAAAAAATAATAAATAAATAAATAAATCACCCGAAGAATTACAGAGTGTGAATGTAGAAAATACGACCAACTGAAGTGAATAGACGCCAAAACAGAAATAATATCATACCTTAAAACCACCACAATGATTGTTACTTTCTTGTCAAAAGTTTTTATGTACTCATTAAACCTTCACGCTTGATCTTGTTACAAAAAAGCGTAACAAATGAATTTAAACACGTCGCTGTTTGAACGGATGCAATAGTTACAGACATTTAATTCATTATTTAACTATTTAAACAAATTAAATTCCATTGACGTTTTTCATCCTTGCATTCAAGAAAATTTAAGCAGTAAATATCCTTTTTCAGAAATATGATCTGATTATACAAATTCTGTAACCTTCAGCTTCACAAACCTAATTTTTTAACTATAACTATAACAACATTTTAGGCAAAGAGCAACGCAAGAATGAAATATTTGGTATGCCTACATTAAAACAAGGGTATGTGCTTTTCGTAACTCTTCTAAAAGATGAAAAAAAATAATGTCAACAATGTGATTTGATTATATTGGCAATTGCACCTAACATTTCTTTTTCGGTAAAACTATTTACTTGCGGTACATGACAAATAAAAAAAACGGATTAATAAGTCGTCTATTTTTAAAGCAACAAACAAAGGGTCCAAAGTCATTTGCAATTTTGTGGTTCACTACCGTCAAATTTTTTTCTTGTTAATAGGTCATTGGAGCTACTAGCAATAACAAAAATAATCATTTGATCATATTCGTAGTAAAAAGAATTTACAAACAAACAATAATTTACAAAATGTATTTTTTTAACTTCCTTAAGTACACAGGATACCACTAAAATATGAACCATATGTTGATATTATAAAATATTGGTTATTCTGTTATTCTGAGTAGGTAATTAAACATTGTAAATGTTGTAATGCAATAAACCAATATGTTTAAAGTAAGAACAGCAAACTCACGATTTTTCTGACACTTAAATATAGCTTAAATAGTGAAAGGCTCTAATTTTGCGACAGCATTGAATTTTGTGAGCACATACTATTATGGTATTTCAATGGGACACCCTTTAAATAATTGACTGTGATTAGTTCTTGGCATTGAATATTTGTTAGCTGCTTTCTCTTCGTTTACTGTGGGTAAATCTTGTTATAATTAAACGCTCTATTACCACCTAGATATGTACCTAATAACTAATAACCGAACAACTGAAAAAGTTCCAGTTCGATCCTTTGGACACAATTATCTAATGTATGATAAATTTTGTCTCATGTTTGCTCGCTGGAAAGCAAATTCTGGAAATTATCTCAGTGCATACCATTTTTTTATGTGTATGATGTTCTCACTCATTAACTGATATTTATTCCATAATTGAACACATGGGAAAACTGTGGTTTTCCTGGTAAGCAGCAACCATTGTCGGAGGTTGAAACCGTATTTTGTTGCAAGTTGGCAAATTCTTGAGAAATCTCATCTATCTGAAATGAAGTGAAGTGAAGTTTTACAACAAAATATCTAGTTTTTATAATGGTGTGAATCACTACAAAACTCTCAAATTTTTAAATAATTTTTACTTCTCGACCGTAAGCTACATTTATGTTTCCTCCATATTTCATGACCCCTAGAGTAGGTATGAAAAATAGATTTCCTGTTTTCGTCGGTCTATCTATTGTCTTTCGTTTGTCTGTAGTCCGTGTCGACACTACTGGATCGATTGTATAAATTTTATGTTTGTTGCGAATATCATGTAGATGGTAAAACGCTAAACAACATTTGTTCAATCATCCTCGACAACAATTTGGTTACGTCATCTCAAAATATTATAAGGTAAATGCTAGTTAAATTTTCAAAAACAATATATACCTACTGCTGTGCTTGGAGTTTACGAATCCGCCTTGAGTTTTTCTCTTCGGCATTCAAATTTTTACAAAAAATTTGCCTTTTAAACTAATATACGCGGGTCGGACATTCGCCAGTACAATGGTTAGAGTGCCCTGATGGCTATGCTAAGATCGCGGGTACGATTCCCTGGTGAGCCTTTTTTTATACTGTAACTGTATGTATGTATGTATATATTTTTAACGTAAAGGAGCTTTCAATGTTATCATATAAATCTTTAAAATAAAATTTTTCAAAGAAGCTGGATTTATTGGACTGTGTTTCTCGGGGAAGCGAAGTCCTGACTAAATAACCTTAGACCAATGTTAATTTAATGATATAAATCACTTTGAAGCAACAAATACATCAAATACGTTTTTAAAAAAATGAAATTCTAAAAACAATTTAAAAATGTACAAAAACAAATTGTGGAGTACATAGTAGATATTTATGTTGGACCGAGAAAGCAGTAAAAAACACGATGAATAACAGCCATGGATTTTTGAAGATTTGTGTTTAATCGTTGAATTTTAAACTTTTAATTTAACGGTATCAAATCTTCAAAAATCCATGATTGTCATTTGATCATGTTTGTAGACAGTGCATCTTTTTTTAAAAGTGGCTACAGGGATTCCTATGTTAAATTTTAGGCCCCATGTTAACTTTTGTTAGAGTGAAAATCCAGGGATGATTTTTGCGGTAAAAATAGCTTTAGGGTTCTTACTTTAATTTCCACTACCACATTTTGTTAATTTGTGCTTTAAAAAATAAAAATTATATTGATTAAAAAATTTTGGTACATCATAGAATGTTATGACTTATCATTTTGACTTGTCACTTTTGATAGCATAATTTTAATTTTTCTACTTTGCGTCAACAATATTTTCATTATGAAACACATATGCGTTTCACAATAATGACATTTAATTTTATTATAGTACGCAAAACAGTAACATTTTCCTTGATTATGTTGGCAATGTTATTATCCGGGCAGTCGAAAAGTGGTCGAAAGTTGAAACCAAATGTTAGTGAACATTGTTAATAATAAGTAGCCCAATTAAATATATAAATTATATTGTTAATTAAGGAATAAATGAATAATGTATTTCGTGTTGCCGGTGACCACAAATCACATTCGTCATTTAGGCCGAATCACCCTTTATTTTTAAAATTTATTTATAATGCAAAGTAGAAAAATAGTACATTACACTCTTTTCAAGAGACGACTTGTGGGACTCATTCTATTTGTCCACTCCTCGCTGCGCTCGTCGTGGTCAAAACTCATTCGTGCCACAATAATCGCCTTATTAAATAAGTGTAATAATGTACTATTAATCATTAAATACCTTAATGTTTGACTCAGTCATAACGATGTCATTTATAACACTTCCAACAGTCCATAATCTACCACTTTATTGGACTGTAAAGTAATTTGGACTGCAACACAATTCATATGACAGTGACAACTGCAGCGCCCACTAAACATTATAAACAATTTTAAAATGGAGGTGAAAAAGTTGCAAAATAGCTATTTATGGTATAAGTGAATAAAAGTGAATTTTATCCAACGAAAAAACACTTTAGCACAAGAGGCGAAGCTGAGTGTGATAATGTTTTTGAGTGGATAAAATTCTTTTATTCGCGTGTATCATACAAGATTTTTTCCAATTTCGCAAAATTTTTCAAAAAATTTATTGTTTAGGTAATCCATACATGTACATAAATATTAATTGTACTATTACTAATATGATGAACATTTGAAGAAGGTAAATTGTCTAAGTTGCCTGTACTTTCGTCACGGTCAAATTCAAACTATGCTCCTGGACTTTCATTAGGATTGTTTTACAGGAGGTGGACTATCAAGCGTTGCAAATTTTAATTGAATATCCACACATCCATAGCAACGAAAATTTCAGTGGTAGTGCGAATTTTTAGTTTTTT